ATTTTTCATGGCATGAAATATTATTAAGTTGTACGTTTTAGCTATAACGTTAAGTAAAATAATGGAAAGAAACGTCTGTGTTCATTCAGTCAGAAGATCGGTAACAGAAACGTATTGCAAATGCAGATACGGTTGAGTAAAATTTTAACAACCTGGCACGGTAATGGTCGCTTTTATAATAATCATCGTGATATTCCACGGAATTGGTCCTTTTCCTCGTGGATGTCGGTTTCCACTTTTAGCTTGAATGAATTCCATCTCTTTCTCTATACCGCTTCTATGTTTCAGTCAAGCAAATTTGCACGATTTGCTGTTTCAATAAACTCGAAATGGAGACCAGTAAAGTTGCACGCGATAGAAATCTTCAATGTTTCTCTCCCGGTTACTTTAAATATGTTATTTCAGATATTAATTAAAAGAGTACTTTTGCTTATTAGCCAGAAAATGTGGACGTAATTATGCGTTTATTTAACGGCAAATCGTTGTTTAAAGCAAAGTCTGCCATTTCTATCATAATCATAATCTATCATATCATAATCGTAAATTTATACATATTTATATAGGATGTCTCATTTTGATCGATTCGCGCAAACATCTTCCAAACAGTGGCTTATTTTAAAAATTCTAATTAAGATGCATCGACACCATTCGATGCACTTTTTAATTCTCTACAAAAAAAGTATTAAAGTACTTGTGTCGAAAAATGATTAGTTTTAAAGATATTTTAACTTTAATCTTCTAAAACTTATTGGATGAAAGACAAGGAAAGACAACGCAGTGCTGTTATGATTACGTTTTCCGTGTCTCGTATCCACAGAATTTTAATGAATTTCTTATTGAAATATCTTTGAAATTAAGCAGCTTCAGATACAAGTCCTTAATATCCTTTTGTAGAAAATTAAGAACCGCGCCTTAAAATTAGGTTGGCTTTGAGATCAGTTAGACTTTTGGTTTTGGAGCAGAACATTTTTCTTCCCATTTTGGAGGAAGCCTAATCGATCATTTTCTAAGGATCGCCCTGTATATATGTAAGCATCTTACACCATAAAGGCGGATTTCACGCGACGATACGTGTCGTATATCGTAATACGCTTATAATAGATACTGAATATACATGTGTAGTAACGCATACCAATGGAAGCGTTCGCACGACGATTCTCCACAGATATAGTACCGCGATACTGATTTCCTGTATCCCGAGATCCTCGGCCGCTAGCTATACTTTTCCTATGAAATCGGCAGACGAAACATTGGAACAAATCGTGTCATTCACACGGTAAAGACATGGTACGGTAAAACTCGGTTTATATAAACCGGTTAGGTTGATCCATATGACCGAGTCGTTCACTTAATACGAGTCCGCCTATGATTTTGCGTTCGGTTAGTAGGAGTCCATGTTCGTGCAAGGGGAATCCAGGAGACATTTGCATTCAAAGACATAACGCTGCAAATTTCTATCTATTGCGAAGATGAGAATGCGTCACATAACGCGTCCCAGTACTGTTCACATCTTGCTGCGAGACATTCGTACAAGTGGATCGACGCTCAGCGGCAGTTCAGATAATAGAAACTCGGCTAAAGTTCAGTTAATCAGGCACTACTAAAATTTCGTTTATTCAAACAGAGTTCATATAAATAGAGTTTCATTGTATGGTATCCATCCTTCGGCATCGTTTGTTCCATAAATTCCATGATTTTGCAATTTTTACAATGTGCATCTAATTTTGATAGGTGATAAGTTTTGGTGCATAGTTGAATCTGTTATTATAAAAAGTTGAACAACAAAAATAGCAAACTATCGGATGCCAGCAAGAAATTACGATATATGTATGTAAAGTAATGGCTCTTAATATTTTAGGCTTCCTTCTTTGCTCTGCATAATTGTCAACGTATGATTTGAAGAAGATATATTTTGCGTCTTAATATATCTTCAATGAAATTTTACCTACTTTTCTTACGCACATACGACTTTATAACCCTGCGATACTTTCAAATTGTCTTTATTCTTTCCATAAACATCTTTTACTTATTCTCCTGAATTATTTTCAATTATAATGACATTCGGCGATCTCTTTAGCAATTCTAAAGTACTTATTTCTTTGCCAATCCAGTCTCTTACATGTTTTGTTGCATAAACCTGTTGCGTTATCCTGTTGAAACGTTAAATCTTCACGTGTGATTCTAGATCTGTATCCGCTCGTAGTAATGTTCTCTTTTCACTCGTTTTTCCTTTTAGCTCTTTCGTATAACGTCCAAATAGACAAAACTTTAAACTTGTCCATTCCTCAAAGAATAGATTTTCATCTAAAACGGATGCTCGAGAGGAGAAGTTACTCTCAACTGAAAAATGATCTGAACAAATGATCGATACAAGAACAAATGAGATTATATTTCATTCTCAGATGTATCTCATACGCGTATCTTTCACTGTTTCGCACGGCGATACACGTATTGTCTCGTGGAACCGTTATATGTTGTACATTAAACCAGTTACTATATGTTCGTATGTAATAGAAGGAATAATTGCTGAATTATGCGAATGGATAATCGATGTCGTGCTATATCTGTCAGAATGTACATTTTAACCTTACATTTACTGAAAAACAATATTTTCTTCTTATAATGTTGGACTTGTTGCAGATATGGATAAAATTGCAATCACTTTAATAGCTCCGTTATTTTGGAGCTATGAGAAACCTTTATTAGCAAAATGTTCGGTATAGAAAGGTTCTTGATATGGCGGTAATAATTGTTTTTAAATGCATCTACCTCTGAGTATAGAAATAACAACATAAATGCAATCATATGTCATAGAGAATTGAGACCTAGTGTATTAAAAAATATATAATAAATGTAATATCGGGGAAAAGGGCCTAAGAAACATCGAGTTAACCATGAACAATGTCGCGAGAGCCGAGGCGCCGTCGGGTCTATCAATGTGTCATCGGTCATTTCAAGTGCATAAGGGCCTACGTGACCCTGGCTACGAGCGTCTGCGGAACACGTGTGTGGTGGGCCTAGGAAAAGACAAACGGATGCTAGAACGGCCAGAATGTTAGTTGAGAAGCGCAGTGTGAGTTGAGAGGTCACGGAGTATGAATCAAGAAGTCAGAGAGTGAAGGAGCGGGAGAGTATGATAATAAGACGTACGACGATATTGTAATCGGTTCTTTTGTTATTGAGTATTGCTTATTAAACTAAACTTAACTCTAAACATAACATCATTATTGTCCTTGTGCTTACTCTAAGATCCATAAGTTACTACATAAATGTTATTACTGTCACATTATAAACTTCTTTATACTAAACAATTTTTGCTAACAAAGTTCCTTTAGAACTCCAGGAACAACGAAGCTGTGCAAGTACTAACTCTTATTGGATATTTCTTTTCTGCAGAGTACGATATTGATCAGATATTAATCCAAGATACTCATTTGATATTGAAATCTTAATTTATAATCATAGTCATAGTTCCTCGTAGCGAAACATGTTTCAAGTAACGGTTGAATGATTACATCTTTCTCGAAGAGTACATCTTTCTCGTTGGTGAATGCGATTGAAATATTGTAATTTAAACAATTAAATATTGAGAAATCGAAATTTTCTTATACAAATGTTAACTACGTTTAGCAGAATTGGCGCTTAAAACGATTGTGTTCTACGGTTCCATGAAATGTAAACAGTTGAGAAGTATTCAACCATCGACCTAATGTCAATATTTAGCTGCTGCAGATATTTGTCCGCGTCATTTTTACAGTATTATACATATTTAGTTAGTGTACAGTATCGCTCCGATATTAAGCACACAAAAGAAGAAAAAGTAGATATGTTATCAGTTTATTCTGAAGTTAGAGTAATTGCAGCACGCGTCAAACGATGGTATACGGTGAGATTTCCTCATAAACTCTAACCGTCTGGTAATACTTTCAATAATGTTGTTAAATAATTTCAACAAATTGAAAACTTTTCATGTAAAAAACCGATTCGAAGTAAAACAGTGACGAACAATGGAAACGAAATTACACTTTTGATCGCAGCTACATTGATCCGTCAGTATGCTATCGCGAAATTGAAAGGCAATATGGAATTAGTCGGGCAAGCATCGTATAGTCGCGCATACTCCAAAGGCACAAAATTCATCCACACCGTTGGTCAAAAGTTTTAAAGTTCACTGGCAATGCTTTTTATCGTCATTTAAAATTTTGTGAATATTGATTTAGATAAATCGATCGTCAACATAGACAAAGCAAAGTGTTAACGTACGGTTTGGTATACTCGGAAATTGTATTATAGGGTCATGTTTTACGAATGTAGCACTGGCCGGATCAAAGTATACACGTTTCCTAAGAGAAATTTTATGCGCATTATTGGAAGATTTGCCCGTTAAATATTCCTCGAAAAACGTGGATCCAACAAGATGCATGTTCTGCGCATTGTGCAGTAATGGGAGAAAACACATTGAATGGGTTATTTCCAAATCATTGGATAGGAAGAGGCGATCATACTAATTTTCCAGCTGAAGGATAAAGTCTGCGCATTAGTTCTAACTACAATGACCGCTAAATATTGCAAAATGTAACCCGGAATACTATACAAGATTATAGGTAAAAAGATTGCGTTGTTCTACTACCTTTCGACATTAATTGGTTCCTCTTATCGTTCTTAACAAGGAAGTATCAAAGAGTTATCAGTTCGCGAAGAACTCGATACTTTTCGACAACTCTAACTATTTCTGAACGTTTACAACAAATACTCAAACATTTGACCGCTATGTTCTAAGTATTTTTTCATTCGTTTTCTTAAATTTTTCATTACACTATTCATTTATTCAGCACTCATACTCAAACAGCTCGTTTCAATTCGTTCTTTCGTGTCATCTGCTAGAATACAAGTTTCTATTCACGGTCCATTTTTGAAAAAAGCCCGTAAGAAAATGTGAAAGGGGTTTAAGTCAGGTTTTAAAACCCTAACCCATTTTTCTTCACAAGTTGATGTTAAATATGTGTATCTCCGTATGGCGCGTGCGTTGCAAGCCGGTGCTCCATCCTGCTGATAGTACTCGTATTTCAGATGGTTTCGCGTCTCTGATGGAACATCACGTAGCAAATCGGGTAATGTGAATTCCAGGAAATACGGATATCGTTTAGCATTTAAAGTATTGTGGGGAAAGAAATACGGATCCATAAGGCACGTATTAAGAATTCCACACCACACGTTGATGCATCTTACTTGATTGTTCGTATTTCTTGTAGAACGTGGATTTTCTGTAACACGTCTACTTTAGGGTAGACGTGCTCGTTGTGTCGATTAAAAATCCCATTACTAGCAAAAGCATTGATAAAAGTACATTCGTTTGTCCATGGACAAAATGTTCGCAAAATGTTTGCACAAAATGTTCACTTCGCCACTGTCTTGAGAAAAATCGGCACAACTATATTCTACGAAACTCATCTCCCGCATATAAAATATCCTACATGGAGCAATGATATTGGTCACAAAAGCCTTATAGATACCTACGTATTCCATTTTTGCTGCAATGTGTCGATAAACATTTTTATTAAAATACCTATGCAAGCACCCTAAATTAAACAGTGAACAGCTGAAAATTTCATTCGGATGATTTTATATTTTGAATGCAAACAAATTCATTATCGTGAAACATTTCGTAATATTGCCAATTGGTACATTATTTTCATGCGTAGAGCAATTGTCATATCCTGTATTACCAATAGACTTCGGTCGCTATATCGTATCCAAGCGTATCTTTTTTAATTTACCGACAGTACTTTGTTTCGTGACTTACTTAGATTAGACTCCAACTAGCAAAATACAATGTCGAACAAGTAACGACATTTCGTGACAATATCATTATGATAGTTGATAATTCATTTCATTTTACATATTTAGCTTATTTTCCATCGTTCTATTATATTTTATGTATTTCATATGTATCCTTTCAGTCGCTTAAGTAAATTTATTTGCATTTCCACATTAAAACATTTTTCAATTCCTCTACTAACATTCTTTTGTTTTATCAACAAATGTTTGTTCAAAGCACCTAATTTGTTTTCTTATTGTTTGAACTTCCACCTTTAATTTAGTAAAAAAAAATTGTATTGATTAGTTATTTAGTTTCATTTTTATCGCAATTTAAAAATGGAAAAACAAGACGCGCGTTTAAGACATATTTTATTTCCGAAAAGGCAGGAACGCATCGCAAGCACGCAAGCAATTATGCCGTATATGGGAATGAAGCCTTGAAAGAAAGGCAGTGTCAAAATTGGTTTGCCAAATTTCGTTTTGGTAATTTTTCGCTGAAAAATGCTCAACAGTCTGGCCGTCCAGTTGAAGTTGATGAAACCCATATCAAGGCCATTATCGATTCAAATCGTCATAGCACAACGCGTGAGATTGCAGAGAACCTCAATGTATCTCATACATGCATTAAAAAAAATTTAAGACAGCTTGGCTATGTCAAGAAACTCGATTTATGGGTCCCTCATCAGCTTAAGGAAATTAATATGATACAACGCATTAGCATCTGCGATTTGCTTCGGAAACGCAATGAAATTGATCCATTTCTGAAACGACTGATTACTGACAACCAAAAGTGGGTGATGCAAGATGAATCAGTCCAGACGACACCAAAAGTTGAGATTCACCAAAAAAGATTATGCTGTCAGTTTGGTGGGATTATACAGGAATTCTGTACTTTAAAACCAGGAAACCAAATGATTAATTCAAACGTGTAAGTTCAACAACTCGCCAAACTGAGCGATGCAGTTCAAGAAAAACGGCCAGAATTAGCAAATCGTAAAGGTGTTGTTTTCCATTTATTTCGTTCCATGCAGAACTCCTTAAATGATACAATTTTTAATGACGCTGATAATGTAAAATCACATTTAATTCAGTTTTTTGCTAGCAAAATCGGGAGTTTTATGAACATGGAATTATGACACTGCCTGAAAGATAGCAAAAGGTCATCGACAAAAACGGACAATACCTAATTGAATAAAATTATATTTTTCCTTCTTATTTAAAATACGCAATTACTTAGTTGCCAACCCAATATTTCCATATTATTACATCTTTTAGTCGTCAACTCCGCCATAAAATATAGGTTTGAAATGCACAGAATAACTCTGCTTACATAGTGGAACACGACATCTGCAATCTTTATTACTAGTTGTGCAAAAACAGTATGACACAAAACATTACGCATTTGCATCATGTACTTGAATATGAGTGAAACTATAAAATAATGGATATAGATAATAAATAATAATATTATAAGAACGTGTATGGCCTATTTATTGAAGTCCGTATACTAAACGGGTATATTTTATTAAATGCTCTTAAACTACAAAAAATAAGTATGTAGGAATGTTATATTATTAGTTTGAAAGTAACAGTATGATTAATACAATATCGTTTGCACTCACGCGTAATCGAATATAAAACCCCGTTTCACGTATTCGTTACTCACCACTTGTACGACACAACGACACAACGATCTTCACACGACGATGATAAATTCAACTCTGACTCTCTCAACTCTCGCTACAATCTTTTTCACGCTCACATTTATCCAAACATGCCTTGGCAACGCTCACAACGCTCTTTGGCAACGTCAACATATCTGGACAACGCTAATAAACAACCACTCCTCACGCCACGTCCCTCTCTGACGTCACACCATCCCACACATATATATATATATATATATATATATATATGTATAATCTATAAGAATACTGGCAACATATAATACATGAGAAATAACTATTTAGGCAAATATAACTTCTCAACAATATTGGGAATAGATTTACTTCGCAATTTATTACAACGTAATGCTAAATACAAGAATGTAAAAGTAAAGACAAACACTCTTGCAAATGGTAAGCTTTTGAATATAAGATGTTTTATAGTAAACACGATAGCAGTTACATGTATGAGAAAAATTGTTCAGAGTGTTGACCTTGGCAACAAATTTCAAGCTCATTGAAATCGGGGAGGTGTACTTTTTCCTCTATAATTACCGTAGTTTGTATTATTGCAAAATTTTAATTTATTCTGTCAATTATGCCTAGTAACATATCTGATAAGAGATGTGATAAAAAATTCGTATAGAAAGTTCGTTGTTACTGATCATTGTTGCGAAACAGGTCAAAGCTCATTGATATATGAATTTTTTGGGAACATTATTGCTTTTTGATAATATTTCCTTTTAAATAATTGTACAAAATCGTTAAAATTAATATAATATAAGCTACAAACGATTGGGCATTGCAATATTATCTCAAACTTATTATCAGTTCAAATAAATTTCATGTCACTTAACCGGTATTTTAAAAATTCAACAATTAATTAACCGACTAGTTAAATATATTTTACACGGACAAAATAACATATTTAGTATAGGATAATGTATCTGCTTTTGAAAGTTTAAGGTTATGAAGTAGTAATATGTACTATGAAGTGTACTATATTATATTAATTTATAGTTTATGAATTAATAAAGTAATAATGTACTAGTTGTATATATTTAATTATTGTCTTTGTTCATTACAAAATCACTAATAATAACTGATAAGTTTGCAAAGGTTTGATTTTCTGTCACACATTGTTATTTTATTTTTACAATATTAAATTCTACCAACACATTCTGCATCTTATTTTAATTAAATGCAATTTATATTGAAACGAGAATAATTATAATTAACGATATCGCAGTTAAAATTGATCGTTACTTGATCACGGAATCTAAGATTTCTGTTTCTCTAGCATTTAATATGTGGCACAGCTAATTCTGTTATAATTTACACGAAGTTATAAAAATTTATTAAAAACATAATTACCACAAATATTTTATAACAGACGTACTTAATTTTGTTCTTATTCCTCTTATTATTATGTAAAACGTATGTAATATCATGATATAATGTGTGTTTACAAAGGAATGGAAGATAGAAAAGGCGATTGTTGTTCAACCTGAGCTATTCTCGCCAAACGTACAGAAAGCAGCACAACTAGATGGTTAGAATACGACTCGACTCTCCCAAAACGCAATCAACATTCTCTCGGCAACGCCACTCGCAAGCTCTGCTTCTCCGCTCGCACGCTGCTTCTCGACTCGCACGCTGCTTCTCGACTCGCACGCTGCTTCTCGACTC